CTCACACCATGGTGAGCTCTTCTGATTCGATACAACAAACTTCTGGTTAGGTACTATGTCTATTTTACAGAAGTCAAGTAAAGTAAGTACCAAAAATTATTAAAGCTTGAAAAATGGGGGTCCCTGGTGGTTTGAATGAAAGCAGTTTCGGTAAATTAGAGTAGGGTTAGGTGAGAAAGGGGAGTGGAGGGTAAGTTGGTGAAGGAAGGAGTGAAGATTATAATTAGAAGGGATGTAGGTAGATACATCTTTTTTCTTCTTTAAAGATAAATGAGCCTTTAGCCGCATTATAAGCAGAGAGGAAGGAGTGAATGGAGAATAAGAGGTCAAAGATGTAGAAAAGTATGTGTATGTGTTCTGGGGAGATCAATGCTAGGGGGAGCATCCCCAAGCATTAGATAAGGGATCCCTCTTGGCCAGAAAGGGCAGCCCCTTCTAACGAAATGGGAGAAAAATAAGTAAGGATTCGATGAATATAAATTGATGGAGTGGGGGAAGAGTCCATGGAGTTCTTACTTGAAAATGTTTTATTTTCTTGAGTAAGGAGGAGGCAGAGTCTATGTTCAGAGTGAGGCAGGTCAATGGTGGAATAAGGGGCTGGAGAACACTGACAGAAGTTGGGGATCACTGGGACGCCTGGGTGTCTCAGTCCGTTGAGTGTCTTACTCTTGATTTCAGTTCAGGTCATGATCTCAGATTTGTGAGATCGAGCCCCACATCGGGCTCTGTGCTGACAGCATGGAGCCTGCTTGGGATTCTCTCTCTCTCTCTCTCTCTCCCTCTCTCTCACTCACGTTCTTTCTGTCTCTCTCAAAGTAAAAATAAATAAACATTAAAAAAAAGAAGTTGGGGACCACTGATAGTGGAATAAAAAGGAAAACAGGCTGCAGGCAAGTTAGAGGACCATCCAAGTACCCTGGAAGCCCTTCTGGAGTCAGAGATTGCAGGATTTGGGGGCATCAGACCACTACTCATCTTGACTTCCTCTAGCAAACTTGACTGTTTGGTTGTTAAATGCCAAGGCTAACTTGTCATTTGAGCCCCATGTAACCCATGTGATCTTTGTCTCATTTGAAGAGTAGACTGCATCACCTTTGGAGAACAGAAAGGAGGATCAAATAAGAATATATATGTGTGTGTATATAAAAAGGTAAAGTGCTAACTTTTTTAAATTTATTTTTTAAAATGTACATCCAAGTTAGTTAGCATATAGCACAATAATGATTTCAGGAGTAGATTCCAGTGATTCGTCCTCTACATATAACACCCAGTGCTCATCCCGACAAGTGTCCTTCTTAATGCCCCTTGCCCATTCAGCCCACACCCCCCAACCCAAACCCCTCCAGGAACCCTCAGTTTGTTCTCTATATTTAAGAGTCTCTTATGTTTTGTCCCCCTCCTTGCTTTTATATTATTGTTGCTTCCCTTCCCTTATTAAAGTGCTCATTTTGGGGGCTTCATTTTGTAGAGCAGTTTTAGGTTCACAGCAAAATTGAAAGGAAGGGGCAGGGCTTTTCCATATCACCCCATCCCCCACACATGCGTAGCCTCCCCCACTCTCAGCCTCCCCCACCAGACAGATGCATTTGTTACAACTGATGAGTCTGCACGGACACATCATTATCAGCAGAGTCCACAGCTGACATGAGGGTTCACTCTTGAGGTTATACATTCTACGGGTTTGAACAAATACATTTACAGGTAGTCACCGTTATAGTATCATCCAGAGTACTTTTGCTGCCCTAAAAATCCTCTGTGCTCCGCTTATTCACCCCTGCCTGCCCCCTGAGCAATCACCGATCGTTTCACAGTCTCCATAGCCTAGTCTTTTCCAGAATGTCACAGAGTTGGAGTCATGCAGCACGCAGCCTTTTCTCATCGGCTTTTTCCACTTAGTAACGTGCGTTTGACACTGCTCTGTATCTTTTCATAGCTTGATAGCTCATTTCTTTTTAATGCTGAGTAATGTTTCATTGACTGGTTACAGCACAGTTCATTCATCTGTTCACCTACTGAAGGACATCTCAGTTGCTTCCGAGTCTTGGCAATTATGAATAAAGCTGCTATAAACATTCAGGCTTTTGGGAAGACATAAAATTTCAGCTCCTCTGGGTAAATACCAAGGAGTGTGACTGCTGGATCATATGGTAAGATACTTTTAGTTTCTTTTCTGTTTTTTTTTTTTTTTTAATGTTTTGTTTATTTTTGAGAGAGCGCAAGCAGGGGAGAGGGAGGGAGACAGGGAGAGGGAGGATCCAGAGTGGGCTCCGTGCTGACAGCAACAAGCCCGATGTGGAGCTTGAACTCACGAACTGTGAGATCATGACCTGAGCCGAAGTCCGACGCTCAACTGACTGAGCCACCCAGGTGCCCCTGGATTTACCTTTGGTTTCTTAAGAATAAAGTGCTCTTTTAATGGTTGTCTTTGAAGGCTCTTGGGCTCTGTCCTAAAGGTTTGGGGGAAGACCCATGGGGATTGCAGGTCTGCTCAATTCTCCCTCATCCCCAGGGATGGTAGGATCATGCCCCTGGCTCTGACCAGTCCAGAGCATCACACTGAAAGTCATCAAAGGGCCGGCACCTTCTAAAAACTTGATATGGGACCCGGCATATTATAGGCATAGGTAAAAATTTCCAATAACCCCATTCCTGTTCCCCTTCAACCTGAGGCTGGATGTCCTACCTTTGGGTGTGGTTTCTGAGGCACTGAGGGCTCCCTGAATGACTGCCTGTGCTTCAGAGTTCTTTTTCTTCAGAAAGTCGATGGTTTCTCGTAAATCCAGCAGCTCGGTGTCCTAGGAGAAGATATGACAATAGTGTCATTCGTTGGGATTAGGAGCGCCTACTGTGCGCCAGGCAACAGGCGAGGCACTGGAATTCCAGCAGACTTGATAGAGAAGGCAGGGGACGGGGGCAGTTGTGCTGAGGGGCAGGGTGAGAACTCAGGGTGGCGGGAAGGGAGGGAGAACCTGGTGCTCGGGAGAGAGGGGGTGAGGTTAGCCTTCGCCTGGATGCCAGAACTCCCAGCTCCCTTACCTTCTCCTCTGCTGTCTCTGCCAGGTGTCGGAGACGGGATGTCATATTCACTAGGCTCTGCTCGAAAGCTGCCACTAGGTTAGCCTGAAATAAACATGTCAGGAGGTTCCTACGTTGCCTGAGGCTTGGGAAAAGAAGAGCCTATTATGGGAAGTAGTTGGAGCTGATATTCTGTGTCTCAGCACTGACCATGGCTGACAAACCTTTTGGTGATTTTTAAACATCGATTTCCCTGAGCAGGCAAGGTGGAATTCAAACACCTTTCTGGCCTGAAGAGCTTTCCCGGTGGGGACCAACTTCTTGAATGATGACGTGGCACAGAGAGCATCAGGGTAGGGCAGGTTTCTGGAGGCTCTAGGAGACTTGGGTCCTGGTACCATCACCAGAGGTGGGACTGTCCCTCGCTCTTCTGGGACATTCCTATTATCTTGGTTTAACTCTTCCGTTGTCTGGCGGACTGGCCCCCATGGGTCTAAATCACCTCCCAGCATACACTGGTGCTTCTTTCCACCTCTGCTCTCAAGTGCCCTCTGTTCTTAACTCCATCCTGCGTCTCCTAGTTCCTGGTTTCTTCGGGCTGTCTTTGCAGGGCTGGAGAGGAGGAGCTCAGGAAGCTTCAGGGGTATTCCACAGTTTGGCCACTAGATGTCAGGTGGATTTCATGAGGAGGAGGCTGGCTGGGGAGGGTGGAGCTAAGGCCACTAGGAGCAGGAGCTAGCCCTCCAGCCTTTGAGAAAGGTGCAGGAAATGAAGCAGGGGGCTAGGAATGGAGGAACAGCCATCACTGGAGGGTATCTGACCAAGTCAGTGACCCTAGGCAGAAGTGGCAGGCATATTTTGGGCAAGTCCTTCATCCAAAGCTCTAGGATGTATGTCTGTGACACCTGTCACTACCTGTGAGCCAATGATTCTCTCCCCCTGTTGGGCCAACTCTAGTTCATACCTATTACCCTTGAAACATGCCTGGAGGCTACTCTCATTTGACAGTGGCTGGAGGCAATCCCTTTGGGCCTGTGTGACCTGCCTCTTTCACACGCATGTACTCTGAATCTATCTAGGGCTGGGCTCCGTGGCAGACCTATGTCACGACCCTGAGCCGTTGGCTTTCACCTACTGTACCAAACAGCGGTGCCTCCTGTTTTCGTGGCCCCAGGTTGCCTCTTGCTCACTTCTCCACATCCCTGTGAACAGACTGCTTGGAGTCCCCAGACATCTACTTGTGGGAAACCCCAGGAACTGTCAGCTTCCTGTGTGCTGTCTTGGCGCATTGGGCCCTTTGCTCTGGATGGGCTTTCCTCTCGTCTCCTATACAACTTCTCCCTCCTCTGGACCTTCCCTAACCCTCAACCTCACCAGGGTGCCTATAAGACCTGAAGGGTAAGCAGTGGTGCCAGAGAGAGGCGGGCACTTGGGAGAAGTAGAAATGCCTTGCAGCCCTTCCCTGTCTAGGGTGTGTCCTCAGCGTGGGCCGCTGGGAAGTTACAGGGAACACAACAAAAGCTCAATCAGGAATCAAGGGATCCTGCAGAGTCCTGGCATCACTGTCTCCTGCTTGAGGACGGGATTCCGACCCTCGACAGAAATCTGCCTCTCAAATTCAGAACCTGTCACGTCTGGCTATTTGTTCTCTCTTAGCCAAAGGGAACTTCCTGTTCGAAGAAAAATCACCTCCTAAATTCATTTTCTTGGCTTTCACCCAGCCTTGACAGCATGATGGCTGACAGATTCAGTGTAAATGAATCAGACACACTAATGTTCTCTGCCTCCCTGGCGCCTCTTCCCCCAGCATCTCCCAGATGTGAATTTCCTGGGGTGTGCAGGACGTGACCCAGGCCACTGGCCATGGTGGGTGGGGCATATGGGAAGGAAGCGATGGTTCTTGCTTGAATTGTAATTCTTATGGGTCCCCAAGAGTGGAAAACGGTGCTTGATATGGGCTTCAAACAGACTAGCGAGGGTACAACTTATTAGCTGAAGGTTTGGGAAAAGAGGATAAAGAGAATAATGAGCGTGGTGAGGGAACGGCTGCTGAAACGGGATGGAAACATGCAAAATCTTGGTAGAGAGTCTTCTACCTGATCCCAAGGAAGACCTCAGGCCTGACAGCTGGGTTCCCCAGAGAGGAAGGGACAAGAAAAAACCCCAGAAACTACTGCGGAAATTGCAGACATGGTTACTTTTGTGTGAACACTTGGAAGGCTCCTGCAAATCCGGCTCAGCTGTTGTTTACAGCTTTGGGGGAAAATGGCTCTTATGTTCTCTGTTTGCAACTTGGTCACAGGGGAGAAACTACCACAGCCTAGGGAGAGGAGGTGGCTTCATTTCCCCCCATCTCACAGGGTAGAAAAACCAAGGCTTAAAGAAAGAAAGAAACTCATTCTTCTTGGATGGACTGAGGGCACGCTGAGGGCAGAGACAAAGAATCCTGGCTCCCAACCTAGAGCTCAGGTCATTTGTGCCACCTGCCCAAGGAGACTGCTAAGAAAAGGCAGTTGCGAGTGTAGCAGCTGGACTAGAACGAGAACTGTGTTTCTAAGTGGTGCCATGCTCACCAGACAGAATGCTAACTGCCAGTTCTGTGCCCGCCCGGTTATGCGGTGTGAACAAAAACACGAACATACCCCAGGGCAGCAGCAAAAGAGTACCAAGGGTTCTATAATACATAACTATTTCTGTCCATGGCCGATGGCAAGGTTGTTCCCACCTCCATGCAGAACCACTGATAATCCTTTCTCTCTCTAAGGAGTTCAAAGACCACTGGGCACGAACATATCCATACCTATTAATTACAGTGGGGGCAAAAACAGTTCTTTATAAAAATTGAGACTCTGAGAAAGGGAAGGCCAGTCGCCAAATCCTCTGTTGTACGGCTATGAACGGGACCCGCTCCCTTGGAATCTAAGCCCAGGGGATACCTTATGAGAGAATTCCCCTCCTTTGGCTGAACTTATCTGACTTACAGTCAAAATACCTGCCTGGGTCTTCCCCTACTTTATGGCACTCACATTGGCAGAGAGTTGAGACGTCAGGGTGGCCACTTTTTCCTGGGACGATTCCAGTTCCCTGCGAAGCTTTCGGATTTGCTGTGAAAGGGAGAGAAATACAAACTTATGGTGGCAGAAGAAGTCGGAGATCTGGAAGCAAAATGGGGTGCAGAGGTGTTAACAAGCCGAGACAAAGGCTTTGCACCCTACCTCAGATTGCATCCTTTCTTCAGCCTGAAGAAGGAGCACAGAAGGAGAGAAAAGAGAGAAGGAGGTGGTTACTATGGAGGTGAAGAAGCCAGGCCCCAGTGGCAGGGCAGAGAACCTGAAGAAGTGTGACTCAGAGGTGCGAAGAGGCTGAAACTCCGTTTCTTGGCCCTGGCCCCTCACGAGGTGAGCTGAGACCCTATACTTGGGTTCACATAAAAGATTTCTCTGGAGCTCATCTCTAGCCAACTTTGTCATTGCCAAGAAGGCTAGGAAATGAAACTCAGGTTGATCTGAAGGCTACTGCCACTAACTTGAGGGAGTGAAGAATTAGGGGCAAAATAAATGTAAGGCCCGAGTTACACCTCACAGCAAAATGCAGTGTGCCCAACCCCCCACAGTAAACATCTGGTAAATTCTGTATGCTGTGAGGATCCTGGAGTCCTATAAACCTCCCCCTCCCACCTTGCCACGGATGCTTCTCACTTAACCCTGGCACAGAATGGGCTCTATCATAAGGGGACTATCGATTTTTCAAAGGAGGGGAACAAAAGGCACCAGAGTTGCTCAGGAATTGGTTGTGAGGCCATAGAGACCACTGAGGAACCGATGCACAACCAAGCGCTCTGAGCTCCAGGCGCCTCCCCCGACCTACCCCAGATCCATAAGGCATAATGAATAGGTAGCAGTGCCCTGCCCCCCCCCACCCCCCCCTCGACTAGTTACCCACCCAACACAGGTCCTAGGGAGCAGAGCAATGGTAGGAGACAGGGGATGAGGGAGGAAGAGAAGTAACGCTCTTACTGAGGAGTAAGTGGAGGAGGCACTGGAGGCCAGGGACAGCACTGAGCCGTGAACTGAAAGAGAAGCAGAACACAGAGTTAACAGAGGGCTCCAGGGATAAGGGGTTTCAGGGCAGAGCCCTAAGGCAGGAGTTTGGATTCTGACTCTGGAGGGCATCTGTAGCAAACAGGTTGGTTATGACAACAGCCCAGAGCAAGCAGGTGTCTGCTGAGGAGGCGAGGTCCTGAGCAGAGCTAGCCTCCTCCCTTGGGCTACATTTTTCTGGCAGCCTGGGGATGGCGGGCCCTTGCTCAACCTGCTCCGAGGGGCACGAGGGTTCAGGGAGAGGGAAAGGAGATATTCGTGGATAGGCGTCATCTTATCTTCTCAGCTCTGGGGACCGGACCGTTCAGATCAAAACCGTACTGAAGTGTAAAATACTCGTTCTGATGATTCAATAGCCCTACTGACACAACTACAGCAGCTTCTGCAAGGATGCCTCCAGGCTGAG